TCACCATGGAAGTCCCCTTAACTCCTCACTACGTAGTAACTTAATAGCCTTTTGTGGCCTTTTGTGTGTTGGCAGAGAAACACTGGTCCAATGAGAATTCAGGCTGCCCCAAATTGAAGGTATCTGGTCATTTTGTATGGCTCCATAGGAATGACAGTGGTTCCCATAAAAGGGCTTGTTCAGAAAACATGTGTGTTGCTAATAATTGGTTTCACTCCCATGACGTCGTAGCTCTCTGTGCACAATGCAGGCAGTCATAAACTTTGATGCTGCATCAGAATGTGTCTGGTTACCTGTTGTCATGATCTGGGTTAATATGATAGAAAAGGTACAGAAGTGGTTGCAAGCTTACATCATTCAGTTAATTTCTTTATTGACTTTTTCTTCAAGTTGGTTATTTAAAGAGAGGGGAAATAATCAATAAGTTTGTATTATTCTGACATTTAAATTATTGCTTTTTAAATATAAAGGCAAGAGGAGGTAAGCTGTAGGGGTTGGTGAATGAAAACAGTTTTTGTTGACAATGACATTATAATAGTTTAATATCATTTATTATAAACCAGTGGTGGACAAATTATTTGGATCCTTTACTCAATTAAGTAAAAGTACCAACACCACAAAAATACTCCATTACAAGGAAAAGTCCCACGTGCAGAAAAACAAGCTGTCAGTGTCACATTACATTGAATATTATGCTAGTCGATTATTATTACTAAGGCATTAACAAATACACTGCATTTTAATGCACTTTGTATCTGGCTGCATCATATGCTCATCATTATACGGTTGGTTTAACACTAGGTGTGTGTGATGACGTGTGTGAGAAATGACTGCTTGAAAACAACAAGCGTGGCTGCTTAAGAGGTTAGGATAGATCAGTTCTATCAGAACAGGGGAGTGTTTCTCCATGAAAAAGAGCAAAGAACGGCACTGAAGGCTTTTCTCCATGGAAAAGATGTTTTGAGTAGAACCTTACTCAAAATCTTTTAAATAAAAAAAATAAATAAATAAATAAAAAAACCAAAGGTGTTGCTTGATTGATTCCTTTACCTGTTCTATTATACTTGCTGTACATTTCACTACTGTACATGATGGTCTAAATATTGTTTCAAAACCCTCTCTACTGGCATGCCAGGTATGTAGTTGTGGTGTAGAATACCATATTTGTTTCAGTTCATTCAGTTTTTATCCATGCTTGGTGCATGGCTAACAACTTTTGGATGGATTGCTATGTACATACATTCATGGTGTTCATTGGATGAATTTTGTTGATCCCCTGACTTTTAAACTAGGGCCACCATCAGGTTGAAGTTTGGGGTTTTGAGTGAAAGTGAATTATTGGATGGATTGCCATGAAATGTGGTAGGCCTACATACATTCCTGTCCCGTTCATATAGGCTACTTTGTATGTATGCTAAACATCAGCATGTCACATGCATGTGATCATGTTAGCGTGCTAACTTTAGCATTTAGCCCAATACATGATTGTGCCTAAGCACAGCTTTACAAAGATGCTAGCATGGCTGTAAAACTACATTAGCAATCTGCTTTTTAGAAAATGTACGTAAATTCATCTTCATGTCATTAACCAATCATTTCTCAGTCAGAATCAAAGTGGTGGTACGACCCTGTCTCAGTGCTTTACTGTGTTCTATTTCTATTTGTTGTGATATTCTCTGCTCAGAATGATCAATTTAAGGCCCAGTTTCATGTTAGGAAATCAGGAGGTTGCATGTCTCTGGAATCACTGAGGGCCCTGCAACTATCTCCCAAGCATCCGGTGTATTTTGGTCTATATGTCGTCACCTAGGAAGAACAATGCCTGAGACCGGTGGAGTAGGAATAACGGATTATTTTCCTTCAGAGCCTCTTTTCATTAAAAGAAAGCAGATCCTGTGTGTATGCGACACTGAGGTCCCACTAGTGCATAGATTAGATGAAAACAAAAAGCAGCAAGTGAAAATGCACTAATGAGCCTAAATGGAGCTGTATTGGTAAACCCAGAGGGGGAAAGCCATGCATTAAAGCGGAAATGAGCATGAATGTTATTGGACAGGCCGAGGAGCGCTGTAACCAGGCAGGGAGCAGCTGTCAGGATGTGAGTGGAGGAGCTTGCGTCACTGAGGGATAATTCTGAGAAGGAGGCTGAGACCACTAGCTTCAGCTTCACCTCCTCCACCACCCCACCCACTCAGCACTCTCCACAGCCACTCCGGTCGTTAGCTACTCTTTTCTTCACCCACTTCATCACAGTTATACTCTTCACTCTATCTCACATGCTCTTTCTTTTCATTTGTGACCTATTATTTCCCAGCTTCTGTGTCACTGAGGCGCTAATTTCTATTTTAGACTCTTGAGCTCAGGTTCTATAATCCAAAGTGGCTTACAGTAAATGAACAGGTATGGTTCAGTGTCTTGTGAGTTTTGACATTTGGCAGTTTATTGTCAAGAAAATAACTACAGGAGCGCAAATCAAATCTGAGAGGCAGTTCATTTATAAGTTAAGACTGAAAAGCTTTCAAGGGCAGATTTGTAAGTGCAAGTTTTGAGAGCGAGCAAGGACAGAACTGTGAGCTTAATAGATGTTTTGAAGTATTATCCTGTAAAACAAATGCCAAAGGTTGCTTCCCACCACTGTCTACATTATT